GGGGGGATGGCATGACTGTAAGGCTGTCTCAGGACCATAGAGAACAGAGTGGGAGACAGGTGCTGGCGGTAAGACCTCACACTAGAGTGGGGCAAACATGAAGAAGACTGCACAGGAGAAGGGAGGGGGAGAGAGGGGGCACCAGGGGACTGGAAGAAAAGTGGCCCCACCCAGAGAAACGAGCAGCAAAAGAAGGCAGTGAGAAAGGAGGAGGCTGAAGACTCTCCGCTTGGCCTCCTTGTGTCTAGGAGGCCAGGTGAAGAGCCACAGCTCAGCAGGCAGTGAGAAATGGGACACAGGGGCCGGGAGAAAGGCTGGCACTAGAGCACGACTGGGGTGACCAGAACGGGCCACTAGCGTCAACATTTCCTGCCCACTGAGTCAGATGGAACGAGAGTGCGGGAAAGAATGAACAGACAGAAGTGTGCTGGGGCCTGGCAGCTGGAGGCTCTTCCACCACGAGGCGGAAGGAGGGCAGGAGAGACCAATCGGCCTCGTGTCTCCACACAGCCTGTTCTCACGGGGGCTCCCAGTGGCCGCCTCATGGCCATGCCCCATGCCCTGGTCATTCCTTACCCGACTGAACCCGCACCACTGCACTCCATGCTTGCTCCCTCCCTTCCTGAGATTTTCCTCTTCTCCTGACTTCTACCAAAGCCTTCTCTCCGATTTCCTCCTGCTCTGCCACGTCTTTCTGTGCTACACTGGCTCTTCTCTCTCTGCCCACCATGGGAAGATGTTTACATGTGCTAGAGCCTTCTCACCCATCAGCCTGCATCTCTGTTTCGGTCACTGTTCTTCCTGGGTAGGCTTGTAGACATGCACGGTTTTTGCCAACACTGATGCGCTAATAACTTCAGAAGCTTTTACTGCTTCTGAGACATTTCCACCTGGCTGTTGTCCAGCTGAGTCTGCACCTTCAGACCCGTTTCCGAAGGGGCTCGTCTTCAACATGTTCCCTCCCAAACTACGGCCCTTTTGATGAATGGGAGCAGCTCCAATCATTCAAGCAAGAAATCACGGGAATGATTCTCATTTTGAGTCTTTTATTCAAGTCCCACCTCCAAATGCCACCCAAATCCTCCTGAATTTCTCATGGCTGTTCCCTCCTTTCTGTTTCAATGACAACAGAATTAGGCCCTTGTTGCTTCCCTGGAAAAAAACTAAAATAACTTCCTAGTTGGTCTCCCTGCCTCCAGTCTTTCCCTCCCCATCCATCATACACACTGCAACCTGACTTCTCTTCCTGACATACATGTCTGACAAGGCGCTCCCCCCACAAAGTGCACACTGCTCCAGTGTGACTCCCGTGTCATGGCTCAAATGGCCTCTACTGCAGTCACAAGATCAATGCCATGCCAGATACCTGAGCACCTGTAAGGTCAAAAGGTGGCTATGGATTTCTAAACTCCAGAAGCAATGTTGGTATTTGAGATGCCACAATTTAGTAGAGTCCATGCTGTGGTCAAACCACAATGAGCAGGCCTGCTCCCTCCTGAGCTCATTCATTAAAGACACTTTACTGAGCACCTACTGTCTACGGAACACTATGTTAGCTAGGCACACAGGACCCAAAGAGCTCACCATCAGGTAAGGCCACACACATAGCAGCAAATAAATAAGACAGAATTTCTTCATCTGGCACAGCCTGACTGAGCATCCTCACTGTGCCTGGCTCTATCTCACGTGCTAAGGGTACAGAAGTGAACAGGCGAGCAATGGACAAGAAGTGGTAAAATACAGAAAACAGGAAAGACTGGCAAAACGCTCCAGAGAAACAAACACAAACACACACACAAGGTGGAGAGGAAGTAATGGGAGGGGTATTCAGAGTTTAGCTGCAGGGGCGGGGGAAGGTTCCACAGAGGGAAGGGCTGTGGGGACGTAAAGAGGGAGTGATTTCATCAAGGGAGGCTGGGGAAGGCTCCAGGGAGGACATGATTTTTGAGGTGAGCCAAGTCAGAAGGATTTTTATACCATGTAAAGGAGAGTGGATTTTACTCTGTGGGCAACAGGGAGCCAACAAGAGTTTTAGAACGTGCAGCCTAGTTCTAGAGAGGATCATTCTAGTGGCAGCATGCAGGCTAGAGTGGAGGGGAAAGACCACGAAGGAGGACCAGGTGGAAGAACAGCATCGTGCAAATCTAAGGAAGTAAGATTTCCTTATTCCTGTACTTCTACTGCCCTGGGGAACAGGGGGCAGGGGACCTGACCCAACACTTCACAAAACGGGACTGCTGAGTCACGAGTCAGTCTGTACTTCCACTGGGTTACACACCTGGAACAAACAGGTGTCCACTTCAGAATGCCAGTGAGATGACAGCTCTTTGTCAAACACACAAAAAAGCATTCACACTTGGCAGCAGAATCCACAAAATGGAATAATTAATATTCTTATTTAGGACTTTACGTAAGAAACACGATGATGACTATGTTTGGAGGCTTCTGCATAACCACTCAAATGGCTTTCCTTATATAATGTTTTCTGCCACTGGCTGCTTGTTTTTATACTTGGACTAAATGCTGTGGCCAATTGGTCAAAATGTTTATGTAAAACTCAGTGGAAAAAGAAAAAAATTAGCAGTCAGTGTCAAATGGGCATTTTATTTACCCACTCAGAGTGAATCCCCATCCTCTAGAGTGCCATAGGAAAATAAAATAAGTGAGGCTTGCTCAATGCTCTCCCAATTATGAAAGCAGAAGTGGAAGGAAGAAAACAGAGCATGCAAAATTCCACTCTCCAAATAATCCAAGGACTAAAGCTTTTGGTATTTCCTTCCAGCCTCTTTTCCACAGAGAGGTTTTCTTTTACACAGTAGAGGTCACACAATCATGTCAGAGCACCACAGTGTAAGTGATTTCCCCAGTTCATCATCAGTGGCAGCTTAAAATGGAACTGGGAACGTCTGGCTGGTCAATAAGCCAAGAGGCTCAGAGGTGCAACACTTAATTCTAGTTTCTTATTATTCTTGCATCGAGAATAATCAACTCTCTCAATCTGCCCCAAGTTGTACAGACCGAGTCTAATCAGCTTCACAGAAAGCACTTCATGTCCTTCTTCAAACATGGCACCTGGATTTGAACATGACACTGCAGATGGGAATACCATCTCATTTTGGCCATTATATTATACTTTTGTTAGTTCAGCCTACAAGTATATTAACTTTTTAATCAATCACATCCAATTACTGGATCAAATAAGCTTGGATCCCTTTTTAAAATTTTATTTTAAAATTTTTTATTAAGGTATGATTGATATACACTCTTATGAAGGTTTCACATGAAAAAACAATGTGGTTACTACATTTACCCATATTATCAAGTCCTCCCCATACCCCAACGCAGTCACTGTCCATCAGTGTAGTAAGATGAAGCTTGGACGCCTTTTAAGACAGACATCCTCCAATCCTTTACTGATACAACTGGTTTTTGTTATGTTACCTATGCTAAACTTCATATTATGAGTTTCACTGCAACATATTAGCCAATTAAGATCATTTTAAACCCAAATTCTGTCATCTAGCACGTTGGCTAGTTTATCACACATCGGATGCGCATGCTTTCTGTGAGCTGACTGTGCTGCACTATAAATACCAGAGAGGAAGGGCCCCTATGCAGCAAGTGTTAGCGGCTGCCCTTCCTGGTTGGCGTCAAACCTTTTAATATACTTAGAGGTGCACTGCCACCAGCCAGCCCGTGTTTCTTTTGTCAGGGTCTGGCATATGCATGATTCAATCAAGACAATGCACTGATGCCACTCTGAACAGTTTCTTTCTTTCCTAGTTACTTAAAAATCACCTGTTTAAATGATTAACTGGAATTATTGCCAATTATTGCCAAGGGTTGACATACAGCTCACTGCTCTGTTCATTTCCAGAATCTTCTTTCACAGTCTGGAAAACTAGAACATTTGTTCAGCTCTAGTCCTACTCAGAAACCTGGGTAGACTGTCATAAATAAAAAGCCCCATCTCAAGATCCTGTGGGCCTATGAACACTATAGAAATGGGCTCCCACAGCTAAGGCAAGAGGAGTAATACACAGCATTTTTCAGAATTTGGACACAATAATGAACACAATAAAAAAAAAATCAAAAGATGCAAACAAATCTACATTAGAACTGTCCTGAAGAAGTTTTAAGGTAAAAGCCATAAAACAAAAGCTAGATTCACCCAACAGTCCCAACATCTCCTGTGGATACTGAGCTACCCTTCCACATACCCAGGACCCATTCATTCCCCCTTGGTCTATCCCATCAAAATCTAGCTACCCCTTCTGGCTGGCCTGGCCAACGGCAACCCACTACAACTACCCGGCGGCCTCCTGTGACAGCCCGGTGGCTATTCAAGCAGTCTTTCCTTTCTGGAGTGTCTCATCTCCACCCCATTGTTCCATCAATGGAACATTCCTTGATATGCCATGGCAAACATTTCATGGCCATGGAATGAAAAGATATGGTGGCACTAAGCCACACCACCATCATCATCCTAGTTCTAAACCATTACCTGGTGCTTTGTAAATGGACACTTGGCAAGTTCTAGAACAGTGGGCCTTAACAATGGTTTCACATCAGCATCCTTCTCTGTGATGTTTTGAAAAACTACAACTGTGCTGGCCCACAGGCTGGGACATTCTGATGCAGCACATCTAGAGCATCTGTAGTGTTTAAGCTCCACGAGTGGTTCTTGTCTGTGTTTCTGGTGAAGCACCACTGTCCAACACCCAACTTCTCGAAACTAACATGGGGGTACAGTTGCCATGCCCTCCCCATTATGATGAAGGATAAAACTTATGTTTTTAATTCACTCTATTCCTATATGTGTTAGTAGTGCTAACACATTAGTACTAATGAGCTTCGCATAAGCCAAAAACCAAGAGTTAGTTAGCAAATATACCCCCCATATTAATCTGATCCATAATCAATCTCGCAAGGTAGAAGAGAAACAGTTGGCATTATCTTTAACAACTAGGGTCATCTTTATGGTCTTAGATTCTACTTACCATTTCCAAACTTCGTAAATAAAGACGATAATTTGTGATGTAAACTCTTCCCTTAATGGGGCCATTGAAAGGACATATGTAAATAACTTCTTTGTCTATTAAGATAAAAAAAGTACCCTAAAATAATGAAATATATACCAAGATACACAACAAATGGCACTAATTTAATATAAACTATTTGGCTAAGAATAACTACAATAAAAAAAATCACTGAAAGGTCAAAAGCAAGCACTGGCAGTGTTTCTACATGACCGTGCTAGGTTGAGTGGGGCCTGGGGGGAACCAAGGGGGCACGTGTCACCTCCAGGCACTAGCAGAGCTTCCCTGAGCTCACCCACAATGCTGTCACTGCCTGGGGCCACGTGTCAACAGCTGGAGAGCAGGCGTGAATCAGGGTCTTGGTGCTAGCCTGAGCTACTTCAACCAGAGGGTGGCAGTCCACACAGGACAGTCTCACAGACTAGCCACCAGACAGGTCTTGAGGTCTGCCAACCTCCAATAACACAAATATCGGGAGGTTTTTAATGAATGAATGTCAGCAGGAGAAATGTTTCTATCATCTATTCTTTCTCTTTTTGATAGTCCAGAGAAGAGTCTTTAGCTAGATTCATTTCAGACATTTAACTGATATAAAACAGATGGCCAAGAGAATAGTAGTACATCTTTGGTAGCATCAAACATAAGGAGAAACTAAATCAAGAGAGTTAATTTATTATAATAAAAACATATCTTTCTCTTATCTTTCAAGGATGTCCTTGAATGTGTTAATGGCTTTTAATATTTTTTTAAACAGTTTTGAAATCCCTTTCTCCTCAGGTGCTAAGTGAAAAATACCCAGTAAGGCTACTTCATGCTAATTCAATCCCTTACTACCGTGGTTAAGGTAGTTAAGGTACTAACCTGGTAGTTGTGGCCCTGATACAGAGCACTGAAACTTCATATATGAATACCACCCAGAGTAAGCTATCCTCTTTGCTCTCACCCAGAAACTGGAATGGACACATGCCACTGGTTTCCTTTCAAGACTAGGATCATGCATGCAAGTCTGTGGACATGGAATAATTTCTTATTGGTGCATGGCTAACTAACTCACAAAGGCACCATATCCGTGACCTTAATCTAATGAACACCATACTTTAGACATTTAAGCTAAAAATCCAGATCTTAGTCAATAAAGTAAAAGGTTCCCTGAAGCGATGGTAACTGTATCCTCACCAAATTAATGGGAATCTGAGAGGAGAGGAGGGTGATGATCCTAATATAAAATGTCAATGTCCACAACATAAGCATAGGCTTAGAAGCTGCCAGATGTTTCTCTATTCTTAAGCCAGAAAGATCTGGTCCTTCCAAAGCACCTTCCTTTTAATATGAATTTATCATGAAAAAAATAAGTCAATAATCAAAATATTACATCAATACTACTAACTTCAGTTATCCAGCAAATGAAAGATATTTTAAACCAAGATGGTCTCCTCTGTTTCAAAGAAGGGAATACTTAAGACTTTAAGCCTCTAAGCTGATCATTTTAAGCACACATCATAGACTGGAAAACCCTAATATCATTTTGTTCTTATAACCTCAAACCATGAGAGCGTATAGCTTCAGTAAGAGACTTGCAAGAGATAATCCACAATTTTTTCTAAAATAATTCTCAGTCTCTGGTACAAAGAAAAAAATATCACTATCCTGGAAAGCATGACACTCTTGAGAGAACTCTTTGATCAAGAAAGTAATGTAGAGTTCTCTCTATATTAATGTGTTCAAGGAAAGCTTGCCTGTTTGTCTAAATTTGACTTCCGAAGAGTAGGATGGACCGGAGGTCCCTGATCCCGCAGGACCTCTCATCAAGTTATGCAGATCCTAACCTCACAGGATGCTTACCAGTAATCCAAGTTTCCCCTGGAAGTCGAGGAATAGCCTCACTGAGCTCCCGATTAACTCCATCCCTAGAAGTCTGGAAACAAAACAGTGGCATCAGAAGTAATGACATTACATTTGCACAGATTTTTAAGCAAGCTGTAATGCAACCTACCAGAAATAGACTTTTTAGAGAAGAAAATTAGAGAAATATTTACCATTATAGAAAATTGGCACAGAAAATTTAAACTAAAAAATGTAACTTTGCATCAACATTCATTAGCTGTGTTAACTTTAAGTCTGTAAATAACATTAGCACACTTTTCAATCATATTAATTTTTAAACACCCCTTCCAAGCACTTTACAGTTAACAGCATTCAGGAAGTAATGAAAAGTAAGTATTAAATGTATTTTATAGGTACATGTATACTGTGGCAACTTTCATTTTTTTCATATTAAATATTAAGTCATCTTTTATTAACAGTAGGGGTTAAAGTGTCATTTCAACTGAGCAATGGTAACAATTGCTCACTGGGATCACTATGATCCTTCCTCACATAGGTAACTGGGTAAGAGGAAAGGGTGGTCAGTCATTGAACTTTTGAGCTAACAATGGTCTTAGGCACTGTCTACATAAATTCTTTACATTATGACTGTACGTCTAGGCCTCACGGTATCACCACAGCAGCCTGCAAGGCAGGTGAAGTATTAAGCACTGAAACGCAATGAGGGCCCTGAGAGTCTACGCTGCCCTAGTAGCCACTGTGGTGGCCGAAGGATGACTGCTGCAGGGGCCCTTCCATCTCTCTGGGTGCCCTGGCGGATCAATGCAGAACCTATGAGGCACATCATTAACATCCGTTTGCGCAAAACGTATTTTGGGCATTACTTTTCATTCACTTTTTCCCTAGATGTTTTCCAAAGTCGTACTGCAATCATATCACGTGTAAAGTTGGTAAAACTTCCCTCAGTACGTGAATATTAAGTGAAACAAAACGCACAAGCACATGTTTGTGAATTAACAAGGGCTATGCAAATGTGAAGTATCATGAAACGGGAGAAAGGTGAATTGAGTATTTAGCTAAGATACAAGCTGTCAAAGGGGTGCTTTGCTGGATCTTTAATGGCTTCATCTTTTTATTCAGGCATAAAATGAAAATTCCCAGCCAATTTACATATGGTTCAGTGTGTGCAGGCTAAGCATTTTAACTAGGAGGGCTGTTCCCAGCCAGGAATGCCTTCCTTCCTCACCAAGGAACAAAAGCACACCCCTTATGCAAATGACATGAGTGGAGAGAAATGACCACCATCCTTTCAGACTGCCTCTCACTAACTTAAAAACAAGTGTTATCAAGCACATTTCATATTCATTACACCTTTTAAATACCACAGTTCGGGGTCAGAACAAAGCATAATTCAACCACACTATTATGAGGGGAAGGAATGTTTGATTAACACAGGATAACATGGGATTAACACAGGCTATATTTTATATTAGAGTAACATTACTCCAGGACTTATAGTTACATTCTTGAAGTTACTCTTGTGTTTGGAACTGATTCTTGTACCACAACAACACTAAAATACAATAAAAACTTATAAAATCTTGGGGATGAAAAAGGACCTTGTAAACCTGACACTGAAAGCAGAAAATATAAAGGAAAAGATTGATACATGTGATCACATAAAAAACGAAAACCTGTGTATTTCAAAATCAAAACACCATAAAGATAATTAAAAGGTCAACAACAAACTAGGAAAAAAGCTTGCAATGTATATTACATAGAGCTGATTGTCATAATATATAAAGAACACTTGTAAATCAATAGAAAAGAATCCCCCAAACACTCCAAAAAGGCAAACAGGCAAAGGACAGAAATAGCCACTTCATAAGAGGAATACAAATGGATAATAAACACATCACTTTTTTTTTTTAAAAGGTCACCCTTGTTAGTAATCAGGGAAGTACAAATTAAAAGACACTAGCTGGCTGCCTGCTGACTGGCCATCCATATACACTACTGGTGGGGGTGTAAATCAACTCTCTGGTGGGTAATCGGTAATATGTGTCAGAAGCCGTAAAGGACCATGAATAAAGCTTACTTTGAATCATTGCTTTTTATCAAGGTATGTTCAAAAATCTCCCTCTAATTACACAACTCTCTCCTCAATATTTTGGACAAGTTTGTTAATGCTCTATTTGTTTCAGTCATACAAATATTTTTTCATCATAATTAGAAAACAACACCAATGTTTAGGAAGGTGTAGCAGCCTGCTCAGTGGGCCTTGGCCTTTCAGTATCTCTTTCATACAGACTTCAGGCGCGAGGGATAGCCTAGAAGCTTAAATGTAATGTGTTGCAGGAGCTCACAAAACCGATTCTCAAAAATGAACTTACGTGAAAGGACTTATAAATGCAAAACTCACTTAACATACATAAGGTATTCTGTCTTTTCTGGAATAAGGTGGGATAATAAAATGACATGCACTAAAGAATTAACATTATGTGAATGAAGAATGAAATTAATAATTCAAGAAAGCCCAAACAACTGCCTAATATTCAAATACAAAAAGAGAAATGCAGAGACAGACATTTAAATCTGAAAATTCAACTTACCCTCTTAATTGACTCATTCTCCAAGGAGTGTGAATTATATTTAGAAGTTGGTGCAGAAGCCATACTGGAAACTCTACCAAGAAAGACAATATTCAACATCAACTGAATGTGTATGCAATTTCAAGCATGTGTGACATCTGAGAGGTAAATGTTACGACTGAGAACAAACCACACTGCACTTTGCAGGTCCTCTTTTCACGGGAATGAGACAGCTGGAGGAGCAGCCAGAGCACAGGTCCGGTGAAAGAGCTCCAGCAAAGGGGCAGGAAGTGTGCAAAAGAAAAGGGCGGTAAGGCCTCGTGGGAGAGCTCAGCGTAAGACACCACACAAACTCCCTGAATTTTCCCATCATCCAAAGTGTTCCCTAAAAAACTTACTGTTCATTAATTATGCAAAAGGCCTCAAAGTTCAACACTTTTTAGTCTTTAAAGATTGTTTGGAGGCAGCCAAGCAGAATGATAAAAAGGATGGACAACTGAACTCTTACTATTTTTACCTTTAAGAATTCTGTTTTCTCCAAATTAAGGCAATTTAAAGTGGCATGGGTTTGATAGAAATCAAATTAGCAGGATTTGACTTCATCAGTATTTTCTATAGAAAATATGTACTTCCTTAAATAATGCATATTCATCACAATCCAGACAAAAAAACGAATGTACCAGTAAGCATCATATTCAGAACATACACAGTGCCATCTTACACAAGGACACACCAGACCTGTGAAGAATGACAGCAACAACAGGAAACTAAATTTTGTTTGTTTGCTTACCAAAGTTAATGACAAAGAGAGATACATATGAAGTTCCTGGGGGTTAAACCATGTCCAATTCAACAATGTGACCATGGATATTTATGGGATCTTTTCGCCAGGCTCAGTGAAAGAGCAGCCACTGCCAGCCGCAGTCCGACATGGTGAACACTAACACACAGAACCTAGTGATCTGGTGGCTGCGCACTGTCGCTCACTGGCCTTGAGTAAGGCCCAAGTAAGGTCATGAAGAGGCAGATGAGAGTGCCTAACAGGGATGAAAAGGCAGGGATGGCCAGAGGAGGACAAGCTTACAAGACTAGGCCTGTTAACTTCTGCTCCGACCCCCACTAAGCTCTCCAAGGGCAAGGCTGGGGGGCCATGGGTCCATTTGGGTCATGGCTTTATCCTGGCGCCCAACTATCTGGTGAATTAATGATTATGTGCAAAATAAAATACACAATACTGTGAAACACCACAATGGGATGAGCTTGTGTACTAGCTCACCAAATCCCAGAATACTAGAACCAGAGAGCTACCGCAAAGGCTGAGAAGTGAACAATTAGGGAAAAATAAACTACTTCCTTAAGAAAGGGATATCAGGCTTAAAAACCTGCAACTACTGAGATTTCGCACAACCTAAAATTTGAAATGACTTTTTAAAAAGATTAATGAATAACTCTAAAATGAATTAAATTCCGACAAAACAGTTCACACAAAATAGCCTTGAGAAACTTCTCTAACCTTAACTTCAAATCCAAGCAAACTAACCCATTACTCTCAGAGACAGCAGAATGAATGAGATGAACTAGACAGAGGAAGTCACACGTCTCTGCCCTGAAATTATTCCACTGACTAAACAAGATTGTGCATGTGGGGGATTTTCTTCAGTCACAGATAAAAAAAATTACTTTTTAGTAATCAGATACTAAATTTAAAACATTAAAATAACGTAAGTCAGTGTTTTCAAACAGAAGTTGTACTATGACTGTCAAGTCCAATATAAGAAATTTAAAATGTTGGGTTCTACAGCCAACTCAGTCCGCATCTTCCTGTTTCTGTTTACAAACCATAAAGAAAGGAGTCTTCCTGGTTTTTTCACTCCTCATAAAAAACTTCCATTTCAAATGAACTGAATATAACAGACGAAAGTCCTCATTTTCCCCTTATTTTTGACTACTTACTACTTTACTTGAAATGTAAGTCACAAACTGTACAATTCAACCTTTTCAAGTGTACGGTTTAGTGCATTTTAGTCTACCCAAGACATGTGGTGACATCAATTTTAAAACATTTCCATCACCCCAAAGAGAAACAGTGTTCCCATTACTACTCACCCATCACTCCCTATTCTCCTAAACTGTCACAAACTTGCTTTCTGTCTCTATGTATTTGCCCACTTTATACATTTTGCATAAATGGAACCATACAATATGTAATCTGTATGCCTAAAAGCCCCCATTTTTAGAGTTACACTAGAAACTGCTACTATAAAAAGTTGGATCAAGTACAAATCTGAGAAATCCAAGGGTCCAGGTAATATGGGTCAATTCCACAATGAGGATAGCTTTAAAATTTCATCAGAGAACCTCTCTTTGTAGAATGGTTCTAATTGATCCCTGAAAGGTACAGAAGCTAGAAGAGTGTGACACTGGGGAGCACAGATACTGGAGCCCACTCTGCTCAAATCCCAACCCTGCAACTTGCTGTTTGACCTTGGGCAGGTTATTTAAGTTCTCTGGGCTTCATCTGCTACCATCCATCTCTATGTCAGTAGCACAGCAGAGCTGGGCAAAACGAATGAAGTAATCCATATGAAGGGCTTAGAACAGCACCTGGTATCTTTGTAAATATATTATTAGCTTTTTTCAATTATGAACGGATAATTATTGAATGCTAATGTCATCGCCAATTCTTCCATTCTTCCACAAACTAGTCCTGACCCCATAACTACAAGGAAGAGAGTTAACTGCTACAGGGATAGTGTATGGCCAGTGGTGACCTAGTTAGAAAGGTTCTCTTTAAAAAGTACATGAAAATAATGCCTCATTAGGACCATGGGAAGCAGTACAGAGCTGTGGAAAATATACTGGATGGGAAAGCACATGCCCTGGGCTGTCAGTGACTTACCAAGCAGGGAACGTTCATCCACATCTATGAAATGTCCATGTTGGTCTAAAAGGGGTTCGATAATAATTAGAAGCTATAGTGAAGTTTACAAAAGTCGGCTACCCTTTTGGTTACAGAGTATTTTGCCCCAAACCCATAAAAATCATGTTTTAACTACTAAAAAAAAAAACATTGTATTTGGACTACCTTGGCTATAAAGTAAAAATTGAAACTTAATTTCCTATATATATGTTAATTACAGGAATCTCAGGAAAGGTAGACTTCTAGCATTTCTGATCCTGAAAAAAACAATTGTAATGATTTAAGCCCAATCCTCTCCTATTACAGAGAAGATGAGCAGGAGAGGCTAGAAAGTATGTGACAAGGTCCTGGGCAAGTTAGTGGCAGGGCCAGTTCTAGCCTGAGCCCCCTAACACTGCAGTGTCCTTTCCATCTAGGGAAAAGTGCTTCCAAGCAGTCTCTATTTTGAAAGAAAGGAGGTTGGATGCTACTGGTCTTAATCTCAGTAGAGAAGTTGTGGACAAGAAGCACAGTTAAGAAAAACAACTCATTTAGACAAGCAACCTTTGGGGCCCCCAAGCCCCTTCCAGGAAAGTTACATAAAAGATGGTATTATTTAATAAATCAAATTCTACATGTTACATGTTACAACATGGCCTTAATTGTTTCTTTAAATTCAAAACAAATAACCTTAATGGTCTCATGCTGTTCCCTTCCCTAGCTGCCACCCATCCCCCCTCCTCTCTGTCCCCCAGTCTTTCTTCTCCCTCTCCCTCAGCCTCTGCCTCTCACTCACTCTCCCTCCGTTTCCTCTCCCAACCACTCACCATCTCTGTCGTTGCTGCCCAGCACGCCCGACCTCCTCTGGAACGCAAGCCACTGCCACATGGGGATTCCAGTCTGTTTCACTTACTGCTGCATTTACAGCACCTGCCACAGTGCCTGGCACCCAGCAGGGACTTTCTAGGTGTTTGGAACATGAACGAATGAACTGGGCAATAAATACTTATTTGGCCAATGAACTTAACTGTTGTTTGCCCACTATCCCATTTAAGCCAGAAATTCATGCAAGCTTCAACGAATGGTAAAACAAACCCTTGGGTAATCAAGACGCTCAAGGCATGATGGCTCTGGGCAGCAGAACTGCAACATTAACTTCTGCCACTTTGAAGCACTTTGCACCGAAAACAACGTGAGCCCCACCACCACATGCTATAGACTTGTCCCATGAAACAGGCATTTAAAATTAAGGTACAGAAACCTCTCCCACCACGCCCTTCTTTCTGACTAAGAAACTGTTCCTCTCTGTTAAACATGAAAAACACAACAGGATTCCACAAAAGCCCTGAAGCAGACATAAGCATAAACACTTCCAAATAAATTTGCAGGCCATTTTTACTCTTACTGTAAAAATCTAAAAGCAGTACAATTAGAAAATAATTTTGACCTCTGCCTCACAGGGTCTTTGCAAGCAAAATCTAAATTCCAGGGGGAGCTCTAGTTCCCGCGGTGCCCTGATTTGGGACCAATGTGCCTAGATGAGGGCCTTTCTGAACTTCCAGTACAGTGACAAAAGGTATGCAGGCCTTCTCTGCGGATTCTGCTCAGCACACTTGTCTTTGTTGACGCATAAATGAAGTTTAAGGATGATCTTTCTCTGGAGGTTCCTTTGAAAGCTGTGGAAACCTACCCAGTCTGAAAACTTTACTTCTAAAGCCCAGCAGTAAGCAAGAACTTATGCAAAACCAGCCTCTGAGCCCAGAATTCCAGATCCTTCTAAGGGAGCTCTCTCTTTACTAGTAAGTCTATTTTGGAAAAAATGCCAAATACTTAGAGCAGTGGTGCTCAGTACCACCAGACCTATGCTCCCTCTGTTCTAAGGCAAATTCCTGTAAAGCCTCCTTAGCCTGAAATGAAAATCATAGATATAAACCTAAACACAATTTCAAAAAATCATCAATATAATGCCTTAACTCCAGTCTAAAGGAGAAATAAAAGGAGAGTGATTTATAGTAAAATTAGGTATTTTTCAATAAATTATATTACAAAACTCCTCACCATTTCCAATTTGGCCTCTAGGGGAAGTCTCACACACGCCCCCACCCCACCCCACCCCCAATGAGAACAACTCACAGAACTCTGTACGTGGAGACTCCCATCAACACAGCATTTACTAAATTAACTTACTCTGACTT